TTCTTCTTAGTATCAGTCTAACTACCTTCAATGATTTGCTGTTTGAATTATTTAGATATTTAAGCATAAGTCAATACTAATGAAACACAACGTGATTTTTTTAATTTCAGATATAAAAAGAAATTGTGAGAATAAACTGTTTTTAGGTGTTAGCTTAAAATATAGATGATATTTTTTTTATCAACAAACCCTGACATTTTCCTCTTTAGGCGATGTGCCTTAAATTGAATTCATAAAAAAAAATCAATTAACCTTTTCAATTATAATTTTTTCCAATTTTAAAAAAATTTAAATATTTAACATTTTCCAAATTTGAAATTACAAAAACTAAAGTTGGCGTGTTCCAACCAGTAGTACTTCAGTCCAGGGAAGTTTGTAAATATATCCCATTAAAGTGCATCAATTTTGGTTTGCGTCGCTAGTTCCGTTGTTTTACGCAATGTATGATCGCAAATATCTATTGAAGAGCGTATTAGACAATAATTTTTGCGTCATCTGTGCGTGAGTTGTTGAACCCGGGTGCGTCTGTAGCGTCAGTGGTTAAGGCTTCCTCCTGGAAACTCTGGATGCATGGTAACCTTGAATCTAGGATTGGTTATAGCGGAGAGAGAGAAGGAAGTTTTATATGTAGATAGATGCAGAGCTTAACGAAACTAGATAGATAGATATTTTTGAAGATAGATAGATCTATTATAGGCTCACAGAGATTAGTGCGAATGGAAAAAGGTTTGATTATAAAAGGAGCTTGGAATAGATGTTATAAACCAAACTATAAAGATATTTTGAATATTCTCCAGATCTCTCCTTTCTTCTTCTGCCCTTTCCTCATTAAATACCTTAATCTCTTCTCCATATCCTTTCTTCTTTCACATTTTATCTGTTTTTCTCTATTCTTTTCCCTCCCTTATCCTTTTCCTCTCTTTCCCTAGCTTTTCCACCTTTCTTCCTACACGTTACATCCTTGTCCCTACCCTTTCAGTCCTTCTCCCTACCCTTTCCATCCTTCTCCCTTCCTTTTCCATTCTTCTCCCTACCCTTTCCATCCTTCTCTCTACCCTTTCCATCGATCCTTCTCTCTACCCTTCCATCCTTCTCTCTACCCTTTCCATCCTTCTCCCTACCCTTTCCATCCTTCTCCCTACCCTTTCCATCCTTCTCCCTACCCTTTCCATCCTTCTCTCTACCCTTTCCATCCTTCTCCCTATCCTTTCCATCCTTCTCCCTTCCTTTTCCATTCTTCTCCCTACCCTTTCCATCCTTCTCCCTACCCTTTCCATCGATCCTTTTCTCTACCCTTTCCATCCTTCTCCTTACCCTTTTCATCCTTCTCCCTACCCTTTTATCCTTATCTCTACTCTTTCCATCCTTCTCCTTACCCTTTTCTTCCTTCTCCCTACCCTTTCCATCCTTCTCCCTACCCTTTCAATCCTTCTCACTACCCTTTTCTTCCTTCTCCCTACCCTTTCAATCCTTCTCCCTACCCTTTCAATCCTTCTCCCTACCCTTTACATCCTTCTCCCTACCCTTTCGCCCTTCTCCCTATACTTTCATTCTTATCCCTATCCTTTCCATACTTCTCCATAACCTTTCATCCTCCTTCATGTCCTTCCATCCTTCTCCATAACCTTTCATCCTCCTCCATGTCCTTTCATCCTTCTCCATAACCTTTCATCCTCCTCCATGTCTTTCCATCCTTCTCCATAACCTTTCATCCTCCTCCATGTCCTTCCATCCTTCTCCATAACCTTTCATCCTCCTCCATGTCCTCTCATCCTTCTCCCTACCCCTCCATCTTTGATGTTAATTCTAAACCCTCAGTGTAGTAAATGTCCATATGATCATGGAGGTCATGTTTCATGTTTCTATTTCATCATGAAATATTTTTACTTTCATTGTATGAGGCATTCACTAATCGTGCACACACTAGGCACCCACTTCCCTAATTTAGTTTCCAGAGCGCGCGTGTGTGAGAAAGGGAAGTTAGTTTCCTAGCTCCCAATCTCACTATCTTATAGAAGTCATATTTACGCATGTAAGCGTATTTCCCTGTGTTGTGTTGGTAAATAGCACAGGCGCGCCAGTATCCTCTTAAAAGTTAAATTTTGCCATCAATAAAAAGTCATAGATCTAAAGAAAATATATGTTAGATATTTTTTAGTCGATTTAATGATTTTACCTGCAATTATAGGTTTATCTGTGTAAGTGATCTGAAAAGCTAATAATGATTCTCAACTCTCTGAACAGTTCTAATAAGCAGAACATTTATCCTTCGATATAAAATGCAAGCGAAAAGATTTTTTTCTACTCAGCTTTGTGCAAAATAAAAATTTGCATTCGTAAACTCATATAATTGCAAAGATGCAAAGTTATTTCTGTAAAAACTTCAGAAAAGGACAAAAATCCAACTACTTTGGGTCGCACCCCTTAAACTTAAATTACTAACAGTCTAATCTTGTTTACAAATTGTTACATTGGGGTCATACAATCTTTAAAGTTAGCCCCCCCTCCCCCCCCCACCCCACCCCAACCCACGTAAATATAGTACTGATTATGAATCTGCTAAGCAATAGAAATTGACATTTATTTATATACTGACATTTTTCCGATCTCATTGTTTAAAATATGAATTCTTACTTCTTAAAAGTTGTTTTCCATGTAATGTCACCATATAACCTAAAATCTACAAAAAAATCAACTCTCCATTTTTTTATTTAAGTAAAAAAATTAAATGCTTATAAAAAAAAGTCTGAAATAAGGATGTATTGTGATGTAGCTCTGCTTAGTTTAAGATTAAGAATAAATGTATAGTACTAGAGCAAGAATGTATTGTGATGTAACTCTGCTTGGTTTAAGATTAAGAATAAATGTATAGTGCTAGAGCAAGAATGTATTGTGATGTAGCTCTGCTTGGTTTAAGGTTAAGAATAAATGTATAGTACTAGAGCAAGGATGTATTGTGATGTAGCTCTGCTTGGTTTAAGATTAAGAATAAATTTATTGTCTATAGAGCAAGAATGGATTGTGATGTAGCTCTGCTTGGTTTAAGATTAAGAATAAATGTATAGTCTATAGAGCAAGAATGGATTGTGATGTAGCTCTGCTTAGTTTAAGATCAAGAATAAATGTATAGTGCTAGAGCAAGAATATATTGTGATGTAGCTCTGCTTGGTTTAAGATTAAGAATAAATATATAATAATAGAGCAAGAATGTATTGTGATGTAGCTCTTCTTGGTTTAAGATTAAGAATAAACGTATAGTCTATAGAGCAAGAATGGATTGTGATGTAGCTCTGCTTGGTTTAAGATTAATAATAAATGTATTGTCTATAGAGCAAGAATGGATTGTGATGTAGCTCTGCTTGGTTTAAGATTAAGAATAAATGTATAGGTTAGAGTAAGGATGGATTGTCGGGTTATTTTGGTTAGTTTAGATTACTCACGACTCTGTCTACGCGTGACGCTCAATCTTTAATCGACGGATTTAATGTATGGCTTAAATCTTTTCCTACTCTGCTTAGGCCTGAATGATGGGACGGAGGAGGAGCGGGAGGTGGAGCTAAATACAAAATATCAATTTATTTATTCAAAAATTCTCACAATCTTTTTTTATTTTACTGGCGCCAGAAAACTCCCAAACTACAAACTTCTGCAAGCCAAACTCCTTTGATAATTTTTTCCAAAGTTCACCGCTCCTAGCCGCAGCGCTTGGCCCAGTATCCTGTCCTAGCCACAGCATTCGCCCCACCAGCCTGTGCGCATTTTAGAAGATCTGACCTGATCTAGAATAAATAAAAAAATAAAATCTAAGAAATTCAGAAGTTGATCTTCAAGAGAAAATGAACAGGGCAAATCTTTAGATTGTATGAGCATCAAACTTAAATATATTTGTTTAATTTTCAATAAAACAACATTCGAACACTTTTTAATCATTCTTACCCCCCTCCCCTCCCCCCCTCTGTATTCAGATATGATGTAGATTATATAAATTTTGTAAATTATCATATTTCTCCAAAAATGTCCCAACCTTGAAAACCTTCCCAGGTTCCCGATTATGCTTCCTTATCCATCCCTGATCAGAGACAGATCTATTCATAGGTTTAAATATTCAGAACATAGGATTTTTAAATATTCAAATATTCTAGACAACTGTATACAGGAACAAGATCGGTGGATATTCGTTTCTTCAAGTTATGATAAAACCTTAGATACATAGATATCCATATAACAAATAATTTGTTAAATTAAAAGCTGGACGCTTATGCATGTTTTCATGTACGATTACAACAGAAATATCTAATTGATTTTTAAAACTTATTAAACAGATTTTGGAAATTATGAAGAAATAACTTTGGAACCCAGCTTTGCACGTAGATCTAAATAATAAACCAAGCTTAGAACATTCTAACAATCAACCCAATAATATTTTGAGACAAATAAATCAAGGGGTTCAAGAGTTATGATGACCTCCAAGTTCAAATTCAAAATTATCTTGATATATTTTTATCTTTCAAAATGAAATCCTGTATCCTTTAAATACAGTTGTATCATTCAAAATGTAATCCTGTACCCTCCTAATCGAATCCTTTGAAATTAAATCCTGTATCCTCTTAATAAAATTGCAAATTGTATCATTCAAAATAAAATACGTTATTTAATAAATATAATTGTATCATTCAAATTGAAATTTTGAATCCTTTTAATATAATTGTATCATTCAAAATGAAATCCTGTATCTAATATTCTTATATTTCATATTTCATATTTTTATTCAACTACAAAGCACGAGATAATACAAATAAAAAAAATCACAATTTACTATGTAGTTTGGATCCGCTTAACCAGAGTAGGTTGTTTTAATTGGTTGGCCCACTATAAACGAATGAGAATTGCAGATAAAAACAATGTACATTGTACATTTTAAACATAAGAATGATGATATATCAGGAAAAAGGTAAGGAGGAGGTGACGGAGTATAAGGAAAAGGGAGGATACTCAGCTTTAGGGTTGGAACAGAGGGTAACATAAGTTATTAGAATCATGTTTATGAACTCGTTTTCCTCACACTAACTCTTTACTCATCCTTGATATCCTCCAAGTTAATACTCTGTATCCACATCCTTTAATCCTATATCCGTCAGGTTCATATTCTGTATCCAACTCTAAACACTACCATGTAAGGATTTATTAAAAATGAATATCTAGCATCTACTGGAGCACGGGCGGGTTCGTTTATAATTATCTCCGGAGATCTAGGAACCTTCTTAGATCTTGGATTAGCTCCAACTATCAGATTCAAACCTGGAAGTAGTTTTTAAGTGTAAAAACTAAAAAAAATTATCTTGAGATATACTTTTTTATTTACAGAGAAGATGCACCAAAAACAAAGCTTTAAAGGAACTTTTGACAAAGCAAATGATAGAGATGATTTTTCTAAATCTGAAACTTGATCATTTTTGATTTCGGTTACTTGAGTTTAGAGAATGTAACTCTCAAAATGAAAACACATGAATATTATAAGAAATAAATTAAAGTGATTAATGATTAATAATATATCTATTTTAAAGACCAATTGTAAGATTGGATCTAATCTAGAAATTCTGACTTTGTAGAAGAGGTTGGATTTGATCTCTATTGTGGGTGTAAGGTTAATCTATTTCTATTTACATATAAGATATTGTTTACAATTTACAATAAAGTTCTGTTAAATGTAAATGAAAGTGAGAGTAAAGTTAAGGACTGCATGAGAGCTCATGTTTTACATCCGAGCTTTCAGGGATCAGCAATAACATGATATAATTTCCGATAAAAATGGTTGTTTGTAAGCAAAGAACCGGTTTGTGATATGTTAGTTTGACCTGAATTAACCCCGTTGTAGGAAGAGTGAAGAGAGGCACATGTGTGTGTGTGTGTGAAACACAGGGTTCAGGGATCATACATTCAAGGTTAGCATACAAGGAAACCAGGAAGCGGAGGAACGATTGGCTGAGAGCGCGCTGTATCCTAGCTCCGCGCATGGGAGCGCGCTCTGACCTTGGGTGACGGCTGAATCCCCTCTCAGTTTCTTAGTCTTGTATTGAGATGAGGAGAGGAGAGAGTGCGACATGTTTCTTATGCAAAGGTAGGGTTGGAGTGACAGAGTGAACCTGTTTCTCGTGAAAAGTGATGAAGTGGGAGGAAAACTTAGATTTTATACCATCGTCCGTCTCGTCTATAGGTCTCAATATAATTATAGAGTGGTTATAAAAAGTGAAAAGGAGTTTTAAACAATTCTCTAAAACTATCTAGAAAACTGAAGGTAACCTGTATCTAAAAAGTGAACAATTTTTCAGTTGATTTTTAAATATAACTTACTTTTTATAATTTAAAAATTAAAAATTTCTCTGTCAAATTTTCACATTTGGGAAAAAATTTCTTTAAAACAATACCGATACATAATAATAATTTGGAATAAATTCTTTAAACAAAACCGATACAAATGTATTTTAGAAGCTTAAGGCTATAAATCTAGCCCTGGAGAAACGGTGTTAATAGTATGTCCTTTCGCGTAAAATTTCACATATGTTCCACAGTACGCAGGAAATCGATTCACATTCCTTAATCTTACATAACAAATGCGTACTTACGCTTCACAATAGTTAGTTACTATTTAAGGTGGTATTATTCCAAATATAAATTAAAATGTTGTCATATATTTATCCTCCCCCCCCCTCCTCATGTACATTTTTTGCTAGAATAATTCTAGTTTCAGCTTTGCAACAGTTTGATCTTGAACTAGATTTTTCTTTACAATTACAGCAAATGCATGAACATATTTTCTGTTCCTCGGAGCAAAAGAAATTTAATATTTCATTAGATATTCATTCTTTGTAGACATTTATCTTGATTAAATAATCAAATCATATATAAAGAGAGAGAGAGATTATATAATCCTCGCTAGAAATCTAAGAATAACCTTCATTAAATTACATTCAAGAAGGTCATTTTTGTAATTAGAAACATATCCACACCTGTTCATGGAGTTTTCCCGGGTTCAGTTCTGATCACCTATTTCTCCAGTTATGTGTGAATATTTCTTGTTACATAGAATTTGCATGATTTAAGCAAACCTTTCATTTTTTCCAGTCCATCCATTAAAGTCACCACACCTTATAGTAGACAGTAAGGTTCAAAGGGTCTGATCAGTGATCAGTTGGGAGGGACGTTGAGGAAAGGTCAATCGTGCTTAAGACTTGAAAAGAAAAAAAAGAGAAAGGTAAAATAAGTAAATCTAAGACCACGGGAGAAAGCAAGAAAGAAAGTAGAATCTAAAAAAATCTAAGAAAATAATATAAAAAGATAAGATTGGTTTAAAAACATTCTATTAAAGCTCACGTAAGGTTCTCAAAAATGGATTTATAAATAAAATTCAGCGTTTAACCAATATACAATACTTTTTTACATACGTTAAAGGATTAAAAGAGGGTTTAAGCAGATAAGTTTTGAAAATGTTGCTAAAAGCCTTGAAAGGTCGACACCGCATCTTTTACAAAATGTTCATTTTTCTGTTTCATCGTAAACATTTAATTATTCTGCCAAAAAAGTTTAAAACTGCACCTTCCTTGATAAACGCAAGATTTGAACCTTGCAGCTTTAACTGATTTTTATTTTATTGTCGCAATTTAATTTCAGTTAGAATTGGGGTTGTGGGGAGAAGGGGGGGGGGTCTTTCAAGCCTTTAGACTTTAGAGTATCATTGAAGGTTTGCCAATTTGTGCCAATTAAAACTAAAAATTCTGAACCAACATCAATCAGTTCTAAGAAGATACTTTTGTATTGTTTGTAAGAATGTCAGAGAAGAGATTAAACAAAAGAAAAGTCGGTTGGTATTGGAAGGCCGGGGGAGGGAGGAGGGGAGAGGGTGGTGTGGAGGGGGGAGGGAGGAGAAAGGGGGTGATAATTGGAGGGGTGGTGGGAGAGAAAGGGCCTGGAACTGGATTACATATAAGGGTAGTTGAACTTCAAGGTCAAGTACAAGAAACCACAATGTTGCCGCTCCAGGTCTCAACTCAGACCCGTCCCGGCTAGATCTTGAGTCTACCAGTCTTATCTGTCATCAATATTCTTTAGTTTGTCATAAATCTGTTTTATCCTGATTTAAAATTAATTATGTCTTGTTGTTTAGATCAATGATAGAGCCTGGTGTGCGCTACCATGCACCACTACAAGGTGAACCCATCACTTCACATATCACACTCGAGGCTGCGGTCGACCTCACAATCAAATCTGAGAGATGGCGACCTCACTCTGCAGAACAGATGGACCACGAGGATGCGGAGTACAGCGACTCCGAAACTCCTCTCGATATGTCCGTCACAGCCACCAGACTTACTCCGGTGTTCCCGGGGTTCAGCCGGGATCATTCTCCAGCCAGGTCGGACAGGTCGGATATGCTGACCAGGCTCCCTGGTCTTTACTCACCAGGATCAGGGTTCAGGGATTGGAGCACGGAGCGTAGTGAATCTGTCAAAGGTATATATCATCAATCATATTTGTTACTAAAACTTAAGAAGTTTTTATTTATCGTAAAATTAAGATTTTGGTCAAAAATAACTTTAAATATTTAAGATGATATCCCGAAAGATGGTTGCCATCTGTGCGGAATGCCGAGATCTGAAATGGCAGCTCACGATCACACCGAGGGTTCCTGTAATCAGCGTCCTATCTCCTGTACTCTCTGCTCCAAAAGTTTCACTCTATGGACCCATTACGAAACCCATAAGAAGTGTCACCAGAAGTTGAAGCAGAGACAGTACCCCTGTCAATCCTGTGGAAAGGTAATTTATTTTCATGTTTCTGTTGCACTGCAACAGCTATTTTGTTGCAACAATCCTGCCAATAGAATTCTAAACTTGTTTGCAAAAGATTGGAATCTGCGGGGTATGTTTTAGACGCTCAAGAATATTTTAAACTATTACATAAACATATTTGTATAAAAATAGAGATGAATATTAAAAACTTTGACATTGTTCTTTTTTTAGATTTTTACCTCAGCTAGTAACAGAAATATGCATCAGAGAATCCACAAGGGAGTTCGTCCCTTTCATTGTATTCCTTGCGGAGTTTTCTTCAGGCAGAAAGCGCATCTTCAGTAAGTTTTTAAACTCTTTATCTTTGCAACTAGAAAGCANCTCTGATTACTTATACATTATACAAGCATGTGTCAGAGCATGACAAAAGGGTGGAAAAATCAATCAGTAATTAATTGGACTTATTTTAGGAAGCATCAACGAACTCAGGGGCATATCCAGGCAACAGAACTGTATGAGAAGAAGAGGGTTGAAGGATTGGTGAGGGATCATCATGTTCCCAAGGAGGAGATGGAGGAATCAGAAACACATTCTGATGACAGTGATCCGACCCTGCACTCATCAGCTTCTTCTATGAATGACGAGGAACTCGGTTCCGGAGATATTTCTAAATCTAGTCCAAAGAGAAAACAGAGTCATCCACAGCAGAGTATTCATCAGTTCATCCAAGGGGATGAAGATGATGAAGATGAGGATGAGGATGAGGAGGAGTATGAGAGAAATTTCGGTCGGAGAGAAGACCTTATCCGGAGTAATATTGAGTACAACACAATAAACCAAGGATACGACTGTAAACAATGTGATTTCAGTTCTGAGGATCACGCTGTAACGAGGGAACATGTCAGTCTTGATCATATGAGGGATACCGCTGAGCTGCAGTGTAAGGAGTGTATGATCACGTTCACTAAACCTTTCAACCTTCAAATACATAATAGGAAACATGAAACTTCAAGCCAGTTCCTCCCTTGTGAGTTTTGTGAGCAAGTATTCAAAGTTCCGAACAAGTTGATTAAGCACATGGAGGGCGTTCATTCTGTTTGTCCAACTTGTGGAACTAAAACCGAGGATAAATCCAGTTTACAGTCCCACATAGAGAAAGCACACAATGAGATGAGGAGAGGTATTCATGTTAACATCCAACATCTCTCCAATATATCGTCCCTACTCCCGGCTAAACATCGGTTTGACATCGATAGTAGGACGGCTAAGATGAGAAAACTGGATTCATTAGCAGATCACATCAGAGCAAAACAGCTTCAGAATGCAAACGGGACGAATGTTGTCAATGGCAATGAACCATTAACACCTCAAGAATCCTTGATCCGGTTGAAATCTGAACACCAAATCATCCGAACCCACGAGAAGCATGAGCCAGCTCATCATTATTCCAAACCAGGTTTGGAGAGTCTAGTCACACAGCTCCACAGAGTTCACACTGGATCTAATCCGTTCCTGAAATCAGAAAACAACAATATCTTGTCAAGTATATCCAAGATGTCGGAGATGTCGGAGCGAAGGCTTTACATAGATCAGACTGAGATACACAGAGAGGAGGAAGAATTATCTCCTCCCTGCTCCCCTCCCACCTCGGATGCCAGGATCACATCTAATGTAATCTTGATCAATAACAACCATGCATGTGAGTCGGACGACTCCAACGAGACAGGTCTTGACCTCACTTTAAAGAAGGAGAAACGCAACGAGGATGAAAACGAGGTTTCCACGACGGAGAATCACACTGAGGGTTATTTCCGTTCCCAAATCATCACACCATCCTTTCCCTATATAGTTCCAAACCTACCATTCCTGACTAGAATGCCTATTTCCCCGCTTCAACACCATAACAACTCCTTCACAGAGCATTTAATGAAATTAGCCTCTATATCCCGACCCTCTGCTCCTAGTGCTCCTCAGGACCTGAGAAAACCGGTGAATAGTACAGCAGGACATCATACCGTTCTCTCAGCTATGCTGGGACACCGGCCTCCGGTTCAATCCCCGGTATATCCCGTCTTTAGCAACGGCCTCCCAGCCTCTATATTTCCCCAGCATCCTCTTCCTCTTAGACCTGAAGATACTTCAAGTAGTCCTTCTCCTTCAATAGGTATGTATATTGTATAAAATATTTACTTGTATAGTTGTTGATCTATTGTTTAATATTATATTTGGTTTTACTTCCTACTTCCTGCCAATATTGCCTGAAGTTCCTTTCATATTTGATAAATGTAATATTTCAGTTTCCTCTGGTTCCGGGTTGGAGTCAAAACCTTTCCGGTGTAGTTACTGTCCGAAGGTTTTCGGTCATCTCTCCTCTTTGGAGTCCCACGTTGAACGTCTTCACACCAATGAATCCAAACATCACTGCGAAACCTGCGGAAGAGCGTTTTCTTCGAAATCCAACCTGACTGCACACAAGAAAATACATACAGGTGAATTTTGTGAAATAAATAAAAATTTTCTTTAATAAAATTTTTTCTGTTAAGAGTCTTAAATCGAAATAACAACTTTCTTTCTTTTTCAGGAGAACGTCCCTTTGAGTGCGCTGTCTGTCAGAAAAAGTTCCGACAGAAAGCGCACCTTCAGAAGCATGAAACTACACACAGTTCCGCCACTCCGTATCAATGTCCTCATTGCGACAAGGCCTTTGGTCATCCATCCAACCTCAATACTCATATAGCAACACACAGTGATGTTAGGTAGATTACTTCAAATATTTCATCAAACTATAAATATTAATTGGTTAAGAGAACTATCTTATTTTTTTCCGTCCCTAATTTTTCTCTGATATTTCAGACCCTACGAGTGCCGAGACTGCGGAAAAGCGTATAAAGACTCTGCTAGCTTTAAGCGTCACAGACTTGTTCACTCTGGAGAACGTCCCCACACCTGCTCCGTCTGTGCAGAGTCTTTCATCGACTCTAAGTCCTTAAAAAGACACAGAGAGATTCAGCATCCATCCGAACCTAATCTTGATAGGTTTGATGATGAGGTAGACGGAGAAGAGGATGAAGAACTGATTGAACCCGGTCACGAGGAACAGTTTATCCCTGTGACCGTTGTTCCACCAGAGCAGAAGAATGAGGAAGTAGAGAAAGATGATGATCTTGCCAGTAACGAAGGAGATTTAGAAATTGCTGAAACCTCAGCCGACTCCGGTATCAACTCAAGTATGGAGCAATCCATAAACCAATCCTTGTGAGAGCATTAATGAAACCTAATCTAGTCTAGAGCAAAGACAAGTTCACTAAACCTGGTGCAGGTCAACTTCCCTACTAAGGGTTGTAATGTGATAAACACGGTGAAACCACAGAAGACCTCTATAAAGTGAACACACCCAACTACAAATGTATTTCATGGGCAATTCTTAGTTGTAAGAAAAGGTTTTACTTGAACCTGTTTGAGAAGAGTTCTGAACTTGTGATAAATAAACTTATATTAACTGTATTTTCATCTTATCCTCTACCCAGAGGATATATTGGGATTACGCGGCATTATACCTTTAGTTCCAGATCAGGGACAACCTTGCATTTTTCCTTTAAATAGTATTTTTGTTAAATATTTTGTTATTCGTATGACATTAAAAGTTTCTAGTCGATTTATTGTATAGAAAATATTAGATGTGATTTAGATTATATTTGCAGAAATGTTTTTCTATAGACAACATTTTTCTTACTTTACCTCTAGTGCCTACATTATAAAACTTAACATTTCAAAACATTTATTTTTTTATCGAAAGATGTTGTTTATAAAACATTTCTGTTCTACTGTCCACTAATGACTGATAAACCATTACTTTCAGTCTCACTGTACCAAGTTGTGAACGTAAACCATTTTTGCCGAAGACGCTTGTACTTACATCCGTACATAACGGCAACTCTTGTACTTACATCCGTACATAGCGGAGACGCTTGTACTTACATCCGTATATAGCGGAAACTCTTGTCTTTATATTTGTACATAGGGTAGACTCTTGTACAGTAATACTTACAAAAACAGCCGTACATAGAAGAGACTTTAGTAAGGACATCTGTACATAAAGTAAACTCTAGTACGGAAATTCTAAATTAAGAAGACTCTTCGTAAAACGGTCAAACGTAAATAGCGGAGGCTTTTGTATGGTGATAAAAAATCGATAATATTCATACAGAGTTAATTTCAATATTGTTTCTTTAGAAATAATATAATTAAATGATTGTGCAAGTTCTGGTGATGGTTTACGTACATATTCTTTGATATAAACTCTGCAGAGGAAAGTACAAGTTGAAAATAAAGTTGCTCAAACATATATATTTGATTTATTGAACTCACGAAACAGAGAAAAGAAGAAAATTAATTAGAGAAAAAAAGATTTGGAGAAAAAAGAAAAAGTTGTTTAAAGATAGAGAACTCAAGATCAAAATTAAAGTAGGCAGTAAAAAATATCACATTTCTGAAGTGAAAGAAAATTCAAACCAATGATTAAAAAGGGAGAAAATGTATATAAAATATCAAAGCTTTTGAGTCTTAGTCACAAACTTTGATTTTTAATCCCCATATCTTTGCAACCAAATGTGGGAGACCTTAGATATTCCAAACAGTGAATTCTGCTAGATCAAATAATCTTCGTTAGAAATAGCAAAGGTTTACATCATAAAGTTGCAATTAGGGATCAAAAAGTTTGAGATTGTGACAAAGACTCAATTTACCTCTAAAAAATGGAAATAGCATTAAAAGAGAAGTGAAAATTATAATTGAATTTCAACGGAAATAAAAACTAAGCAAATCATATCAAATTCCTATTCTTCTATTTAAATGGAATGTCAAATTAAATCCTGTTCATAAAGTTTCTTTAAAGTTTTTTTATTGACAGAAGACAATGCATTAAAGGGACTGTAAGCGTAATTTTAAGTGACTCTCCATGCAAAGATGACAAATAGCTGATTTCCCTAGGTTAAAAAGTGTTAAATTTTGATATTTCCTTTATGGTTTTCTGCAATATAAAAATGCGCAAGTCACTTTTGTAGAGAATCCACAATTGAAAAAAAAACTGTTTTCGAATAATAAATATTGATATTTAGATCAGACAAAGCTTTTAAGGGTACCGTTGTGAATCGGGCAACTTAATCTTTCCAGGGTTAGCCACTTGAAATTACGCTTACAGTCCCTTTAAGAAAACTCTAAATTCTGTTCTATGGATCGGAAGGAGGGGGGGAGGAGCTAATGGATTTATTTTTTATAAATATGTAATGATTCTGCAATTCTTAAATATCGGCTTCTGAGACAAAAGTGACAAACATAACTTTATATTTGATATTAATGTAGTCTACTAAAAATTTTACATGATGATTGCTTGTATGTTTAATCTATAAAATTCTGACAGAAATTATATATGTAATTTTGTGGTAAACATTTTCTTTTTTTAGAAAGGAATTGAGTCTTTCTTACGAACTAAAATTTCTAAAACACTATTTCTTTGCAACTTGATGGGGTAAACTTTTTATATTTCAAACTTAGATTATTTGATCTAACAGGATTCATACATTATTTGAAATATCTAAGGTTTACGAAATTTGGTTGCAAAGATATAGTGATTAGCAAATAAGAGTTTGTTGCAAATACTCAATTTCTTTAATGGAACAAATGAAAAATGAGGAACATAATGCAAAGGGTATATATAGTAAATACGTAAGTTAACAGATAATTAAGATAGTAAAGGATAAAAAAAGAAATGAAGAAGAAATAGAGAAAACAATGAATAAAATCACAAGAATGAAAAAGAAAAAAACATTTAGTAAGATATAAAATAAAAATCAGATGGAGTAGATCAAGTTATGAATTCTTCTTCTTTTTCTATTAGGAATACCAGGATAACCTAACAGAGAGACTCGTTATGTTTCCACTGCTTAATCTGGGTTCGTTGTTTTCAGAAAAATACTTTATTTTACCGAAGAATCGAAGAATAGAAATAAAAGATTTTCGAAACCTCCTACTTCAAGATTATAGATAAATATCGAGGTTCAAAGGGAAAATGGTGATCCAAGGATAAATTGTCGGATGGTAGGCGTCAGATTTGGTGGATTTATCTCACATATAAAAAGTGAAGCACTTGTCTTGCACGGCAGGTAAAACACTAAGATTAAAAATAGAAAAATATTTTCAAAATTATTTTGAAAGATCTCTTCTTAAGTTATGTTAATCTTTCTTAATTTAAAAACTTGATCAAGACCACTGTTATATATATAATAAAACAAGACATTTGTGTTTTTATATATTGCCAATAGCCGGCCACACGGCTGGACTGATTGAAGAATTTTTTTTTGTGGACACTCAGGGGTGGCCGAGGGGTGTTAAAGGCTAAAAAAATTCGATATTTTTTTCGTGAATTTTTTTCATTTTTCATAATTATTCTTTTATTTTTTTCCACGGGCAACGCCGGGCCTTTCAGCTAGTTTAAACTAAGAAATTATAACATTGATGCAGGGAAGAAAAACTAGTTTAAATTGTTTTAACTGATAAAGAGTTTTTCATTGTTTGAATGGAGCAACGACTTTACGTCTGGGTTTAAACTTAATCTAATCAAAAGTAATCTTCAGTTGGTTATATTTCACTTCAATCTCATGCAAAGAAGTTAATTTCATGTCGATTTACTAGCACCACTTTGTCAAGCAAAAGTATGAAATGCAAAGGAATTGAGTATTTGCCACAAACTTAAATTTTCCAATCTCTATATCTTTCCAACCTGATGGTGTAAACTTTTGAGATTTTAAACATAGATTATTTGATCTAAGAGAAAATCCGAGTCAATTCCTTTGTTTTCAACTTTTTTTACTATTTAATATTTATAAAAAGGGAGTGTTTAAAAAAAGAAAGACTTTGAACTTAAATAGAATAAACTTTATTAAACGTTACCCTAAATCAAATATAAGTATATTGCACTAATTATTTAGAACAGGGATCGTATTCTCCATGACTAAAGTTTAAGAACCAAATCAACGTTACGGAGTTTAGACAAACGGAAAAATCTCGGCAGTGGTTTAAAAACCCGATTATGTGAATTGTTTAAATTGTGCGTATTAGGTTTTCTTAACATTTTTGAATTAAAAAAATTTTAAAGTTAAAAATTAAAAGAAAATTCACAATTAATCAATTTTCTCCCAAAATGAAGAACTTTAGAAACCATCAACCTTCAATACTTGAAATATTTAAACAATTCAAAGTTAGGATTCGCCATGAAATCTGGTTTTGAAGAGAAACAAAGAATGATGTTGAGTAAAGGGTGTAGAGTAGGATGATATTAATGGTTTCTTAGGATTCTAAGAACGCGTATAAAAGGACGGATAAAAGTTGGATAAACAGGATGAGTATGTTTTCTACATATATGGATATTTACTGGCGTTGAGTGGGGGCCTGGTCCTAGAGAGAAGGTTGAACCTCAGCTCTGAAGAGAAAATGATATATAAAGGACAGAAATTCATGAAAACAGAAGGAATTGAAGGATTAGCGGGAAAGGGCGGGAAATCGTTATTAAGTTTCAGGTGTATAATTCTAGAGAGAATAGGTCCGGTGTGAAACTTGAAGGTCGTAGGAAACCCTAAACTAAGACCCATTCTGTTGCCTCTAGTCTAGTCTAGACCTGTTTCACATTTTCGCGGCATTTCTCAAGGTCTCTCCGTCCCAGGCAGTTCACCCTCATGACCTTGCTCACAGATGAAATTTAACGTAGTTTCCCAACTGAAAAATATTTTCATGAAAGGCAACAACGGTCGTTTTTGGCGCCAAACTATTTTTTTATTCTCTAAATGGAAAAGATTTCAGTTAGGAAAACACGGAGATAAGGATTTGGAGCATGATAATGCAAAACATGAAGATTGTACCATTGATTTTATTGATAAGGGATCTCTGCAATATAGGGCTGTACTCGTTATAACCTGGTTGTGCAGAACAACATTTCAATTATAAATAGAACAGGTTAATTTATAATGCAGTCAAGTGTAATATTTGAGCATTGGGAAATTTTATTGAAATGGAGAGTAAAGATTAGGACAGGAAAATTGGTATCGAACGAAAAAAAGGATGTTACCAAACAGGAGAAGGACAGGATATTTAGTCAAAAAAAAGAACGGAGACGATACAAAACAGGAAAAACAGGATTTCTAATAAAAGAAAGAAAAAGAGACAAATATGGTATCGAAGGAAAGAAAGGATATGCTATATTGAACAGGAGAAAGGACAGGAGACCTAAAAAAAGGAAAGAATACAACAAGGAAAAAGATAATGTATCGAAGGAAAGAAAGGATATGCTATATCGAACAGGAGAAAGGACAGGACACCTATATAAATGAAAGGAAAGGACACATGGGAGTCAAAAACTGTATCGGAAGAAAGAGCGAATACGATACAAAACAGGAGAAATTAAACAGGATTTATAATTTAAGAGAAAAAGATACAAGAAGGGAGACAAATATTGTATTGGAAGAAAGAACGGATACGATACAACCCAGGAGAAAGGACAGGGTTTCTAATAAAAAGATGAAAATGATACATCAAGGTAGTATGGTATCGAACGACAGAAAAGATAAGATACAATTAAAAATTGTTCAATAGAAATAAAAGAATTTTTTTAGTTTAGGGACTGAAAATTGTGTCAGAATATTTTAATAGAAAAAACATTATATTATTTAGTAGAAAAGACATAATATTGTTTAATAGAAAGGACAGAATAATGTTTAACAGAAAGAGCAGAATAATGTTTAAAAGAAAGGACAGAATAATGTTTAATAGAAAAGACATAATATTGTTTAATAGAAAGGACAGAATAATGTTTAACAGAAAGGACAGAATATTGTTTAATAGAAAGGACAGAAAAATGTTTAACAGAAAGAACAGAATATTGTTTAATAGAAAGGACAGAATATTGTTTAATAGAAAGGACAGAATAATGTTTAACAGAAAGGACAGAATATTGTTTAATAGAGGACATAAATACTAGCTAAACAGAAGGATTATGATACAATTTTAACACTTAGTGTTAGAAATGAGCCAAGTGTTAATTTTGGAACTAATGTCTCCTGTATTTGTCTCAAACATATGAACATTCAACAGCATATGAATAACATATTTAAAAACATATTTTGATACTTGAATCTTTAACTGAATTGAAACTGAAATTATTTTAGTATGAACTGTCACTGATAGGTTTAATTGTCACTGCCAGCATGATTCTAGATCGTAAACTCTATTTATGCATTTATCCTCATGCTCTAGTCATATATTCCAGTTCTGCCTTCTTTTCTTCCTATACATCTA